ATGTTGAAGAAGGCAGAAGCCATGCACTCGGCTGCTGTCTTGTCACAAGCACACAGGAGTTTCTCGCACAAGCTCCATCCAATACCTTAAAAAAGATGTTTTAAAAATAATATCAGAAAGCAGATACAGTCAATTTTTAGAGTAACACATAGTCAATGTGTTATTTGTTATGGATAGATGGGCTTTTACTCCCATTTTCAAATGTGCCTTGAATTTTTGACTCCCAATTCACATCTAGTCATCTAAATACAAGCCTGATGTGGAGGTGCTGGGCAGCTCGAGATCCAGCTGGCCTTTGCATATGGGAATATTGGGACATCCAGAACTGACTTGTCTCCCCAGTCATGAAATATCTGAATATATAATACTTAGTTACTTTCTCATCAGAACATGTTAAATTACCTCTAAACTTACATTTTGGCTTGTGATCCAGACAGACAACTTCAGATCTTGAAATTCTTTCTGTGTGACATCCAAGTTTCTTAACTTGTTCCACACAACAGTGATGAGAGAAACAGCACCTGAAACAAACAACAGATGCAACTGGAAATTACTAAAACTGCATCAGAGAGTAACTGCAATTATTTACATTTCAATGGACATTAAAACTGAGATACAGAAGTTTTCAGGTCATGAGAAAAAACTTCTCCATTAAGAAAAAGGAAAGAAAAAATAGTGTTGTTCCTGCTATCACAGCCTTCTTCCTAATTCTTTTGGTATTCTTTCTTTAAAGGTGGTATGGCTTTTTCTGCTTGTTTATTTGGATATGTAATTACAACTGCAGGTGTGTGTCTAATGCACTATTGAATACTTGAAATAACTTCTAAATATTGTTTTCTGAGAATTTCTCAATGACAGCCAGAGCCTTGATTAGTCTTGATCTAGTCTACTTTATCATGCATAGGCTGTATACCCCACCTAAAGCCACACTGTTAGCAGTGCCAAATCTCTGCATTGCGGTTCAGGTAGTATTTCAGTCAAGCTGTTTATTCCCTTGTGAAAGGCAGCACAGATGTGTTCAACTCTGCAGTTCATAAATCATACTCCAAACCATGCCTTTGCCACGTGTCATTGCAACCCTCATCTTCATCTCATTTGATAGACTCTTCCTGTGCTTTATTGACCTTCTGTGATTGTTCCTTATTTCAATCTAGTTGATACGTCATCTCCAAAACACTGATGTTTACCCACAACACAACACAAATATTATCCACATTTCCATATTTCTGGAATAGCCACATTTCAGTGTTTCACCTTATATATTTAATGTGGTGGTGGTTGTTATTTTGTTTAAGCATGGCCTGACTACTGATCTTTCCCTCTACAAGGCCCAACAGAAAGGTATCCTGATCTTGGCCTATCTCTAGGTCCTCCCATAACACCCGTAGCTAATGGCAGACTGTAGAAGAGCTCCTACCTGTCCAGCCCATCAGTGGGATAACCTCTTCCTTCTTGGCCACAGTAGCAACCATAAGATTCAAATTCCTGTGGGCATCGCTCAGTTAGGCAGAACAGCATTTCTCCTAGTTGAGGCAGCTCCCTCTTTGCTCTCCCATTTCCTCGCTCTTGCAGAAAGGTTAATCGTTCACATACTAGAAAGAGAAAAGTGTTGTTTCACACATGTTTTCAGCAGTAGGGAATGTCGTGAGTTAGATAGAAGGATTTCCTGAGCCATAAAAACTTTTTAAGATAAGATTTTAGTATTTCTAAATCAGGTTTTTAGTCCGTGACCTATGTCTCTTAGAATTTATTGAACAGGTCAGTAGGAGAAGTGAGAGAAAAATATAACTTAATGAAGAGAGATCCCTTAAATTTGCATTACAAAAGAGTCATTCGGATTTATATAATCCTTCCTAATATAATAAGATATTTCTTCTAGAATATCCGTATCTATCTGAGATGAAAATGAGAATTCAGTATATTCTAACTTAACCGATTGAGAAAATAGGCCTCATGTTCTTGAGTGATAACTAATGACTGCATTATACCGGAATTAACATTTGTTTGTTTGTTTGTTTGAACACTTAGCAGTAGTGATGCTCTTGGATTAAGCTATGCATGATTCCTTCATGTTCTGCTTACACATTTGTCCTAATAAGCCTTAGATACCATGACAGAAAAATCAAAAGTGATGTTTTTCGAAAAAGAAAATTAATAGTTAGGATTCTGAAATGACGCTTCAGAGATAATTGTTTCCTGATTTTCACAAACTAAAAAAGTAGTCATGAATTATCATGTTGATGCTTCTTAACTACTCATCTACTGAAGCTATGATGCCCTTATCTCAAATAATAGTGGCCTGTCGTGAGGGCTTCTGTGCTGCTAAGGTCTTGGTCTCTCTGAACACGCGTGCTTCTGTGGCTTCCACAAAACTGAAATTCCTCTTATCATGGAATTATCCTTAAATATTGGGATGAGAGTGTGTTTTATATCAAGAAAGAAGTTGACAGAAGGGAATCTGCTTTGGCCTTTGCAAGGGAGAGGATGTGGATAGGACTGAATGTTTGGATTGTGGGAAAGAAAGAATTCCACCTTGTATCCTCCTTGCTCCCATGCATGATCCATGGACAATTTACCTCTGCTGATAGAGAATTCTGCCTGTGTGCCTCTGTGGCTCTTTGCTTCCTCATGTTAATTCCCTAGCAAGGAGCGCCAAGGTGATGCAATGCTATGCATTATCTAGAAAGTGTTTTTTTTTCCAATTGCCCTTTGACAGAAGACTGGATTCTTCCTATCTATCTATCATCTGCTGTGTTTCTGTGGTCCTTATTTCCAGCTCTGGGATCACTTTCTGGGGAAGCCTAACAAGACAGATGAGACAGAGTTTAGATTTACAGCAGTGACAGCAGGTCTGAAGCTTCCTAGGGATCTCTGACCTCTCGGCAAGAGCTGAAAAAGCATCTGAAATTGTGAGGAGGAGGGTGATGCTGCCAAGCCTTCCGCCCCAGTCGGAAGGTCAGAGGGAGACACAGACTAGTTCCTTTTTGTGCTTCTGCTGCTTGTAAAATGAAGTATCTCAAAGATGTGAGTACATTATTGTTTAAAAACAAAATCAAGGAAAAACTTTCACTGAACCATTTCTGTCTTGCATTGCACTTTAACCTAATTATAAATAGTTCTTAAAACGCCAGAGTAGTAGTAATTTCTAGATAACTGATGACCTCTCTGGAAGAAACTCAAATGTTAAAATCCTTTGCAGATGTCTGTCTCCTATGGTTCTTATAACTACCAATATACTTTCATGTCTGTAACTGGTTTAGATTATCTATAATATCTACCTAGTGCTCTTTCATAAATATGCAGCTAAATTTTTAAAAATATTTTTCAGTTAAATATAATAAACTTTACCTTTTCCTGCAGATTCGTCAGGTCCTCTGTTGGACAGTATTGGTTGGAGAGCTGCTCCAGAGTAAGCTGTGCTCTGGCCATCTCTTGTGGGCCTTGTCTCTGTAGGTTACATTATGCATGAATTAGATGGGTAAGGATTACAAAGGTATTCTACATGTCTGTGAGAAATGCTGAATATTCAGATAGTCATGAGCAGACACACAAGGTGTACTGTAAGATAGAATTAAAATAGATATGATTAAAATAGATATGATTCAGTTTTTACTTGCCTTTTTCTTTTGTCCTCACAGGTGTTCCTACAGGAATATTCTCAGTGGGGGCAAGTTTGTCTTTTGTTGAATTGATATCTTCTGGGGATGAAATTAGAGAGGTGGTTCTCTTTTGCACCGGGACTGCAGCTTCTGTAAATCCATCTTTTTCTAAATAAACAAAAAGAGAAAAGCAAAAGAAGATATGAAGCAATAAACAGTAAGATTTCTCTTTTAGATAACAGGTCAAAGTAATAGCGTAGAAAGACAGAATTTGTGTGAACAGAAGGCCACAGATAAACATGTTCAAGATAAAGAGTGTAAAAACAATTTCTTCACATGTCTGTCTTAGCAGATTAAAAAAATAGTTAATTTGGACCAGGGCAACTGCTATTTTTTGTTGTCTTCAATCTTAAGTGTTGCATAGTGGAGAAAAGAGTTGTGTGAATTGCTGAAAGTAACTTCTTATTTTCAACTGCTGACTAGTCAGCCTCACTGAGAGAAAAAAGTGCAAGTATGATCTCATTTTCTGAGTAAATTGCTTTTCTGGGATTCTGACATCAAGAACATATCAAGGGAAATATTAGTTAATGGTGAATGGAAACATAATTTAAAGAAAGTCCTTTTGAATCAAAATGAAACGCGTGTTTATTTTTAGATGATCTCAAAATTTGTCTCTGATCAGGATTTTTTTTTCTGAGTTTGGGGATTATTGAATCTTTTCTTTTTTTTTTCTTTAACATTTTTTGTAAGCTAACTTTTAAACGAAAATACTGTTTTCAGATAAGTTAGTTGGTATTATTTTTTATAAGCGCCCATTTGAAGAATATGGTCTTTCAAAAAAAAATCTTCATTTTAGAAATGACTAAGTTTCCATGTTTTTATTCTTTACTTTTTAATGTTGTCTACTTATTAATTAGATTCAAATCAAATTCATTATATTTATCCCTCTGAAGTTCTATTGTTAGTTTGTGTTTAAAATAACCTGATTTAGGGTAAAATAATACATTAAAAGAATGAAATAATTTAAAACGCAAGGGACCCTGTGAAAGAATATAGAAAGAGATCAAGATAACATACTACTGTTAACAGACCAGTGAGTTGCACATTTTTTGCCAGTTTGATAGTGATGACTTAAAAAGAAAGTAGCTACTGGTATATGTAAATATTATAACTGGAGTTTAGGATATTCTGCTATCTTGGCATATTCTGCCTAAGAACATTTATTACACATTATTTTCCTGTAGCCAGGCAGACCTCCAATGTGAGTCATAGATTTTCTGATATATTCAAGTTATCAGAGATCATAACTTACTACAGCAGTACCATATTCTGTATTAGAGTAGAGGGCATGCCTGCTATCCAAACAGCATAATCTGAGTTAAAAAGGTTACTTTCTACTCTCCATATTCAGTGTTAGACATTTTCTACTGCGTTTCAATCTGATACTTTAATAAGAAAAGGATCAACTGAAAAGTTCCAAAGCAGCATAATGTTGGCATCCACTTACTTTTAGCTGTGGCTGATGGTGTGACTGTGCTCGTAGTGGTAATAGCTGCAAAACATGACATAGATTTTAGAGTTGCATGAAATTGTATGTAATGTAGGAGAAGGTAAAATCAAAATGAATGTATTGCAGAGGACCATTACATATGCAAAATCTTATGTGAATTTTTCACATAACAACTTGCATAACGACTGCAAATGAGCAGCTGGGGATGAAAGACAATAAGTACTTCTTAGTCTGTTTTTGTTTTATGCGTAGCTGCTGTCTGATTCAAAATTAACTGTGAAGTCAGCTTTGTTCTGAGTAGGGGGTAGACCTGATGGCTTCTAGCAGTCCCTTCTAACTGAGATTATCCTGAGATAGTGCCAGGAGTTTTAACTGTGATGCTTTCAGGTGATATGTTGCTAAGTCAGTCAAAGGAAAAGAAAAGTTAAGGGTTACTGGCCTTTTAATAAGGAGCCTGGGTGGGCTGTACTGCTGTGGTCTCTCACAATAACTGGAAAGAAAGAAAACAGAATCATGATGGTACTGAGACATGTATTTCTGTAATGTATTTCTGGAGAGATTTCTATTCTAAAGCTTAACTAACCATCTATGTTAGCCTTATTTTATATAGAAAGCAATTCAAAGGGAGAAACAATGGTTTGCTCAAGGGTGGGCTACATCCATAGAAGAACTAGATGTATTATGTAGAAATCCCGATCAGGAGATATTTATCTGTGTTATCACAGACCATAATAAAACAAATCCATCTCCCTCCTCAGTCAGAAATCCTTGTTTTTCTTTTTTGTTTGTTTGTTTGTTTTTCCATCAAAAGTGTCATCACAGACTCCTACCTCCTTCTTTGGAAGTTCCCAGGACCATCTCACTGGGCTCAGAAGAAATCACTGTTGAAAACAGAAAATATAAATTCAGAAAACAACTTGCCAGTATAGATTCTTATGAGAAGTCAAATTGCCCAGAAGCGCTTTTGCAGCGAAAGAGAAAAACACAAATATCTGAGGCAGTGTATTTCTACAGATATACAAATACACGTGCACACACTGCCTCAGGAGGTCTCAGTTTTATATTCTCAAAATCCCTAGTAGCAGCTAGAAAAACACAAACCCGAGCTGGAATTGTTGTCAGATGAAAAAGGCAAACAGCAACAAATATCTGATAAAAAACTTATTTGAAAAATGCAGGAAAGGTAGGTCAGCCCTTAGCAAAAAACGGTTTTCAGGTAGGTGTCATTGCGCCTGTCCAAAGTAGCTTTCAAGTCATAGGACCTAATTAAAGTCTAAAACATTATTCCTTAAAATAAATAAATAAATAAATATGTTGCAGCAAGTTGCAAGTTGCAGCGGTAGGAGAGTACAGCAAACACCATGGCCTTTTTTATTTTCAAGGGAAAAGGGCAGTACTGTGATAGCGTTAGCACAGCTCCACCACAGTGCAGGTCTGAGAAAAGAGGGAGCTAATAGTTCTGCCTTTTGTCCCACAGGCTTACCCAAGGAACACAGTACAGCTCAAAACCTGTTTTTCCTTTGAATGTAAAACATTCCTTCGCTCACCACTCCCATAAAATTACTTCTGAGTTTCTCTAAGGCGAGCAGTGGTTTTGGTCACACCGGTTCAGTATTTGCGGTTCCTGTAGGTATGGTCCCTGGTGCTCAGGCCATGGCCTGTCCAAGACTGGGTGAAATAGTTTCCTTCCTAACCCACAATGAATCAAGCAACTGTAGTTGATGCTAAATTACATGATGCATATGCACATAGGAAACCTGCACCTTGTGGTCCAGGCTTGAACTGGATCACCAAAACACTCTATCTACTTTTCTATCAGTCCTTTTAGAAGGGCCTAAAGAAAACAATCAGCTTATTTCCTCTATTTTGTGATTTCAGCTGCTGGGAGCTGACAACAGTGCTTCTTCACTCTGAAGCTGCAAACCTTCCACGGATGCAGTTGCTTGCTGTAATTCATCAGTCCCACGGTGAAGGATTTCTGCAAAAATAAAAGCATTCTTATTCCAGAAATCATGGCTTACAATGTTCATTAAATAGGAGGTTTCTCTAACATTCTTAGAATTATCAGAAGGGAACTTATTTCTTAATGTTTTTACTATTTTGTTTAGTATAAAATTCCTATTTTTATATGATATAAATATAGCAAATGTTACAACAATTGCCAGTAATAAGATTAACAATATTGTAATATTGCATCAGTTGCATTTATTGATTGCAAATACTGAACACAGTGATGTACAGTATAGTAAACTTAGTTTTTTTACAAAAATCTTTCAGTCTAAACAAGATAAATTGATCAACAATAATTATTCTTTAAATAATTATTTTTAAAATTTGAGCTGGTACTTAAATATATAGTCTATAGTAAAGATAAAAGGATAGGATTAGTACCACTTAGATGTTTAAACCTAGGCACTGGCCTGAGAGCATTGCTGAGGAAGGACCTTAAATGGGAATGCAAACAGAAAAGGACCCATTTGAGAAAGATTATACTAATTTTTTTTTTATGTTTCCTCTTTAATTATTTTGGAATGAGATTCTAGGTCCTTTTCTCAATTTCTTCTCTGAAAAAAAAAAGAATGTTTTGTCTGAAAATTTCAAAAGCATGCATGTAAAGCTTGAGTCATAAGAATTCAGCTCTGGCTTACTAGGCTTTTTTCTATTCCTTTCATATTTTAATATCTTGCTAAAAATGTCTTGCTTCTTTGAAAGGAATTCATAGCTTCCAAAATGCTCATGATACTTTTTCAGAGTATAAATCAATCTTGATTTAATACATTCCAGTCAAATAATTAGAGATAAGGACATACCCTCCATGTGAAGTGTTGTCACCTCTTTCATGATAGTTGTTTCTGAAAAGGAGAAAGCTCTCTCATAGACTAAGATATAAGAATGTAACCATTTAATCTGAATATTACAGCAAACAAAGTGTTACTGGATTTATTCCCAGTTATTCCCATTGAAGCAAACGTTAAAACAAATTTTGGCATTCTATCATTCTATGATCATTTTCCTATGAATTGTCAGATAAAATTTTATATTTTCAAAGTCTGAAATGGACAGAACAGCTACTCAGAAATATAATAGCAACAAAATAAAAATATATCCTTCGAAGGATTTTATTCAAGTAAGAAATATAATCAGGAGGCTAAATTAGTAGAGGTATTCAATGAGCTAAAATTGAACCTGTCTTTACCAGCAGTGTTAAAAGCAGCATAATTTCCTTGTTAATGGCTAACAATTTCCTCTCTTTTTTTTTGTACAGAGCTACTGCTAACATATTTTATATTAGAGACATCTGATTCCAGTGAGAGAATACTGGCTTATAAAAAACAATTTTCTGGAATTAATGAAAAATTTTCTGTGGCATTTGCTTTTCTCTTGACTTGTTTGTGAGGAGATGCACAGTTCAGAGCTGTGTACATGAATATCTGGCCTTGACACTGAGATCTGGCAGTATTACCTCAGAAGAATTAGCATTGCTTTTTCATGCCTATATCAACTTGGAAGTTTGAAAACCTTCCCTCTGCCATGCTGATTGCTCCTTATGCAATAATTTTTTAATCCAATCCTGTTCCCACAGGGTGCATTCACACTAAATTTGTAATTTCAGCTACAGAGAACAGATCAATGTATGAAAATGGAGATAAATATCCCCTTGCACCTCCAAGAAGGGCCTAACTACATCATCTCTGTAAGCTGAAGATAGCAATAGGATCTCCCTAGAATCTTCTCCTCTTACACTGTGTTCTTCAGTCCCTTAACCTTCTTGGTAACCCCCTCTGGGCTTGCTCCAGTAAGTCAATTAATATACATTCTCCTTCTCTTTCAGCTCTTTTGAGTACCAGTAGTTGGAAAGGACACATGAAATGGAGACTAGGACAACTGCCAGATTCAGGACAGGAAGCCATCGTGCTGGTGCTTCATTCTCTTGGAATCTAATTTGATGCCAGAGGAAAAACTGACAGGAGAGAGCAATTGGTCAGATCCTGATTGTTACCTGTAACCAGAGATGGGCAAAAGGAGACATCCAGGCCATTCAGGGAAGAGTTAATATGTGCATTCAGAAAACATTCAATAGCATCTTTGTCGCAGTTGCAGAGGAGCTGTTCACAGGAATCTCCAGATTCTGGAAATAAAACACAAATCCAAACAAGGTGCCATTGAAATATCTTTTGCTCTCTGTTTTTCCTCCCTGTAAGGTTTCTGTCTATATTCATTAGTGCAGATAGGGAGGTTAAACACATTCAAGTTTTATAATCCCACATAGTTTATTTTTAAAACACTTTTCAGTGTAAGCTGACACAGCCTAGCAATGGACTGCTAGAAGAGTAGCCTGTACTTGTTTTGTTCTCCAGAGTAACTAGCACTGCAGGGCAGTATGGCACTGCCTCTAATTTTTCTGAGTGAAACCTAAGCCTGTTGATACTGAGTCTGACATTTCATGGACCTCAAAAATATTTGCCCTAATCTCAAGAAGCCACAGTACACAAGTCAAGACTTTCACATAAGATGTTCCTTCATTAAATCTACAAAACACTTTCCCAGGAAATACTGTTTTCCTATACCAAAACCTTGTACCTTTCAGAGCTTCAAAACACATTTTCTTTTCAGGGCTACCTTTATATTCATGTTCACATTTTCAACATTTTAAAGTGTGAAAAATTTTAAGTATGGAAAGCATTAGAAAAATACTGTTCATGTTTAATTGCATTTGGATCTTTATTAAGATGACTAGCCTAAAAAGGAAAATAATTTTTGTTTTAAATAAGAAATCAAAATTTTCTCAGATGATTTTGACTTATGTGCCTACTGCTGGGGGAATTTTGTCACTACTCCTCTTTCCTGGTATTATTCAACCATTTTCTAGCATATGCTACTTTTTTTTTTTTCTGAGAGTTAGTAGTTTATGAAAAAAATAATTAAAATAGATAAGACAGTTAAGAGCTGCAGTCTACATATGCCAAGAGCTGTGCCAGTGTTGCACAGACTACCTCTTGTTCTAATCTCCTGGCCCCTCTGCCCTCACTCACTAGGGATTGCTGCTTGTTCTTTATTTTATGAATGCCTTCTGGCTGCTGTTGCTGCATTAGTGATGTTAAGCATGGAGGGTCCTACAAGGCCATATCACAGCTATTCAGGGTTTTGTCATCTTAGAAACCATGCCAGCATGAATTAAAATTACCTACTTGCCTTTTGGGCTGAGAATAGAAAATTATGGGTGGCAATTTTAATGAGATTAAAAAAAAAAAAAGGCAGTTGGGAGTAAAGTTATTTAGGAAAAAATGTTCATCCTGAAATTAGGGGCCTTAACATTCCACTGTTGTATCTCGAGTATGCACACAAACCCTCTGAAAAAGGAATTGAATATCTCAAAGTACATAAAAGTCACTCTCTATAGTTTCAAATGAACTGTTTTCAGATGATTATCTGTCATCATCTGCATTCCGGATCTACGGAGAAGATCCGAGCAAACCTCAATAATCCTGCAAATTGAACACTGCTAATTGAACACACTTGGGAACACCTCAGCAAAAGCCTGCCTGTAAGAGAGGGATGCTGGCAAGTTTCTAGTTACTGAACTTCTATTTTCGTGTTCAATTGGGCTTTGATTCCTCCATGTAGTCCAGTTCCAGATGCATCCAGAACTCAGCCTAACATTTACTTGCTCAAGAATGCAGATATGGCAGTGGTTTCAGATTAATTATGTCTTTTGTTAGATATATCAAAATGAATTTCACAGTCCTCAAAAGGCTCCAGTATTAGGCGGTTGCTGTCAATTCTTACCACAGATCAGCTTTTCAGTATGGCAGTTAACATCCGTAGAAATCTTTGATGGGTCCCAGGTACACTCCATCTCCGCAGCTTCCTCGTAGCATTTGCGGTGTTGGAAACAGCAACTTAAAGAACAAAATGACACAAAGTTCAGACACATTAGTTTCTGTTGAGCGGAAGGTCGTATCGCTGTGTTCTGGCTGCCATTCCCATACAAGATTGCAAAAATGCCAAAGGAGAAGGGGTCCACATTGTGGGTGCCTTGCTATCCTCTGCTTCTTGTACCATTTAAATGCACCATTGAGCCCTGGGAAGGCTCTGAAATCCATTTCTCATCCCAGAATTAAAGCAGCTTTGTCCTACCACCAACCTGCAAGGGCTGTTACAGATCTTGTGTTTCCCTTACACTTGTGCTCCCATTAAAACCCCACATGCCCTCAAGGCCGTAGTTGCTGTGAACAGCAATGAAAAGTCAGATAAAAGAACAAACTCTGCATCAGTCCCCTCTTCAGCTACTTTTTTCCCCCACAAGCAAGCCAACTACTTCTATATTATGGCAACATCTGTGTGCACTGACATCAACTATAAATGAAATGCTAGTAGAACAGTCATAAATATCCAATATAAAACTCAATATAAAATTGTGGCATAAATCAAGCAAGAGCTTGCTGTTTGTTTTGGACTGAAATGCCCTCATTCAGTGAATGGGATTCAGAGGCTGGGCCAGGTCTAAAATTAGCAGTGGTCTTGTCCATGTCAAATACAAAGGAATAGCACCCCACCCCCAATAGCACCCACTATGAGGAATGATTAATTTGTAATAAACAATGTAAGGTGTTGACTAATTTAGCTCATGTGGTGATATTGATAAGTACTCAGTGAATATGTTATTAAATAGTTTACAGGACACAGGCAGTTAGCAACTTTACAGTAATAGGTTCAATTGAAGAAGATGGTTTATTTTGTGTTTTTGTTTGATTGATTTGTTTTTCCTTTTTTGCTTTATACACAGAAAGCAAAAAAGGAAGCTGAGGAGGAAAGTGAATATTCTCATTAACATTCTGAATCTGGTTTCTTGGAACGCCAGCATTTCTGCTGTCTGTTAGACATCTTTTCCCCTGCTGTAATGTGACCTGGTGAAACTGTAGTAAGGTACCAAATGGATTTGAATAAAAATATCATCCATCAGAAAGGCCTTGATGGTTCTTCAGTGACCCAAACCCTTCTGAGGCTTGTTTTAGAGATCAGACATTGGAGATTAGCTTGTAAACTCCACCTGGAGCAGACTTGCAACCACACAGCTCTGCTGAAATGTCACAGCTGCCACTCCACTCTGTGCCTGGTATTTAGTGAGACTTAGGCATCTGGAAGCTTCTCTTACTGAATACTTACTCTAAAGTTACCTATAAGCTATATATCTTTAGATCATTGAAATTGCATCACACAGGGCTACATTTAATCAGACAATTCACATGCCCTTTTGCAGGAGATTCCAAGGTGCAAATTGTCCTCTGGACATATTTCTCATTCCCCATGGACTCTGAAGCTCCTGATTTAGATGTGTCAGTTAGCTACTCTTTTACATGGAATAAAGTCGTTTTTATCTTCAATAATCTCTAATGCCTTAAATGCCTACAGTGAGGTGCTCAACTTTTTTTTTTTCCCCTGAAGTTTTGGCATTGCCATATCTGCAGAAGTTAAAAAAAAAAAAAAAAAAAAAGTGAATAAAACCGTACCTGTGTGAACTGTCTCTCAAAGATATGTATTAGCTCCTTTTCTGTTTGGAAAATATTTAACCAAGGGCATATTGTTGTCAGTGACAAAACAATAACAAACAGTCTACACTCATTGCAAACTACAGTGGGTTTGCCTTGCTGCTAAGGAAACCTAACCGAGAGACTGCCAATCTCTGAATAGACAAAATGACTTTGTAGATATTTTCTCAGGACAAAACTGCTGATGGATTGCTCTGCTGCTGCTGTATTTATGCTGCTGTGCGTTAAATTGAAGCTGAATGAAGAGAAAGGCCAGGTGCTCAGCTCTTCAGGTACCAACTCATTGAACTGACTCAAGTTCCATTTCAGCATGTCATCATGTTTATTCAGAAAAAAAAAAGCCAGAAGAAGCCCCATGGCTTCCTTCCAGTAGCAGAGCTAAATCTGCATTTTCCCAGCCATCTCACAGTAGAAACCAGATGGATTCATTTTCACCCACTGGAGCCGTAAGGCCTTTCTAAGCCCTTGTTGCCCTCACTCAGGGATTCATTACTGAGCATTGCTGGAAAATGCTCAGTCTCAGTTTAGACAAGGATGGCTCTTGGTCCTCTTGATTTTTTTTTTTTTCCCCACCACCACACGGCATAAGTGAGCAGCCATTTGGTTTACTTTAGGCTTTACTAAAATTCTCCTAGGTGCCTATGTTTCCAGTAGAATCCATGAAGCGCTCACCTTTCTGCTGGTGAAACAATATTACACAGCTGCCAATATCAACAATCTGGCAAACCTGAAAACCTACTGAGATTAATATCCTTCTGCTTCTTTTATTAAGAAGGCTTCCGAGTTGTGGCATTGGAGTATGGTGTAAACATGAGACAAAGCACAGATAAATGATGAGGTTTTCTTCTTGAAGATATGTTCAGAGTTTTGAGACCTCTAGGTAATAGATGTCATAGAAATGGATGCAGTGCTTATTTTTTCTATTGCTTAATGCTTATTCTTTATAATCAGTTTAAATCAACTGTGCCACCAGGATTGCACTGGTGGATTTATATGCAGTTTTGTGAGCCACTACTTTTATTTCTAGGAAGGGAGTATTTCTCCATGTCTAACTATGAGAAAATAAAAGAGAAACCTTAAGCTATGCAAGGGAAAAGAGAAGAAAACAGATGGTCCTGTACTGTAGGTTATGACTGATGCTTGAGTTGTGGGGTCAAAAATATCTAGCATAAAATGAAATGTAAATGTCTGATTTGTGACATGGATATGGGAACCTTGACTTTATGTGATTCTATGACATGCTTTTCCAAGTCCATAACATGCTTTGCATGTCATACTTTTTTGAAAGAATGACATTCCATGGCAATGCTGGACTAACTGGAGCTGGAGTTATTTTGTAGGTCACATCAGACACTTCAGATTGTGAGTGAGTGATGACTAGATTAAACAGACCTGGGTGGTGTGCAAATTATCCTCTAAATAAAACTTCCTCTTTCTTAACTGTCCTTATATTGTTAGGGTGTGTTATGCTTCTGATCATCAGAGATGAAGGCATCGACAGCCAGCCAGGCCAAGAGAAGAATTCTTATGGAATGAGACTTACCTGTCTGCTTCATCCATGGGAAGCCCTTCCATCTCAAACCGGCAAGAACAACCATAGTCTTCAAAATCTCTGGGGCAAAGCCCAGTAATACACTTCATTTTGTTCACAAAATTGAGCAGGGCAGGGAAGTTGGTGAAGATGGACTGCAGCCAAGTGAAATGTGAACCCAGACAGTCTGAAAGGAGAAGTCATAAAGCCATGATCAAGAGAGGCGAGAGTGATGGGGGTGACATGGAGGCAGCTTCAATGCCTCCTTGCTAGTGTGAGAGCAGGGCCTTGAACAAGACTAAACAGGAGTGCTGAGCAGTAGCTCAGACTCACAGTAGTATTTAATATTAGAATAGTCTCTGGGGTAATATACAGCCTCAAAAGTCCCCTTTCCTTTTCAACATATATAGGTAAGCTCCCTAACATTTCTGTTCAGTGCACGAAAACAGCTGGAACACATACTTACCAAAAAACAGTGCAACACTTCCCACATTTTGAAAGGCTCCGTTGAAGAATGTGGCATTATCTAAATAAATAAATAAATAAATAGAAGAACAAAATGCTTCTATGACAAGAGACTAGAACTGTCCCCCCCAGCTGCTCCCATCTTTCTTCCATTATAGAAGAATAAGAGGCATATAGTAGCTGCAAACTTTGCTGCAATGCAGCACTCAGTTTCTGGAGTATGAATGATTCCCCACTGCAATGCAAAAAGCTTATTCTAGGTAAAAGGAGGAATTTGGTTTGGAGACTTTCACTCATGATTTAGGGGACCCGGTTCTCCTGTGCTGGTATCCCTCAGTCATGTTGTGGCTGACTGAAACCACTGAAGTCAAGTGCAAGAGATGAATCAGGGATCAGAAGTTCCTTCTTTAATATTAACTTGTTTACCAATATCGAGCATAGGTTACTGTCCAAAACTGACAGTGACTGTTTCATGGTTTAGTAGCGCACTGCCATCCTTTCATGGCCTACAATACCATAGAAAGCAAACCTTAAATCATTCTTACTTAAGAGTCTTTCAGGTGTGTTAAGAAGTTCTGGTAGAAAAGCTGGTGGCTCCAACTCATGGCCACCTACCTCTGCAAAAGATACGAATAAAGAAAGGTTTTAAATTTGGAAAAAAAAAAAGAAAATCATATGCTTCACTGCTACACATGAACTGCATATATTTTGAATACCTTCCTGCACTGGCAAGCTGATTTGACAAAGAAAAGAAACAGTTGCTTTGCTCCTCCTCCCCCAGGAAAGCCCAGAAAAGTACTGATAAATGACATTGGTTTTGAAGTTGAAGCCAGTCACCTGTTAAACAGTGGTATTACTGGGGAGGATGTGCTAATGCCCACATTTTTCTGTTCCACTGAACACTTGTGCTTACTGAGATTACTTATTACTGTATAAAATTGCTTTATTTGACCAGTTTCTTATATTGTCCCAAATACTCCTATTCTGTAAATCACTGTTTTTCAATTATGTGAAGTCAAAATGCTAGCACAAAAACTCTGCAACTGCTTGCTCTAACAGCAACATCCAACCTCATTTTGATAGTGAGATACCTTTAGTATTAAATCTATATTGTATTTCTTATTGTGAATTTTGCTTTGGTGTTTCACCAAGGTACATAAGGATTTACTGGCTAAGTATATGCATTTAAATTTTTTTCAAGCTTGCTGTTCACTTAAATAGTGAATGGCGTCCAAAAATCTACACAGATGAAATTATCGTGTTGTATGATACGCAATCTTAGAAAAGACATTTTGATCAAGAGCTGAAGCTTCTCTGATTGGTTTCTTTGAGTTCTTATTGTCTATGCTCTCTTTCTACCTCTATTTCTTTCTCAAGTTAAGATTTTTTTTTTCTTTTAAGATACTGCAATAGTTTTACTGTACTTCTATTTTTCCTATTTGCCATGTCCTGAATGAGAGTGAAAATCCAGTAGCTGGTCTCTCACTTTCAAGTTTTAACCTGTTCTTACCTTCTGCACAATTTTTGCGTATAGTGTTTTCCTTTGGATTTATTTACACTTGACATTTTATTGCAAAGAAAAAAGAAAAGAAAAAGTTGAAAACATTTAGTGGATCAAGGATCTAAAGCTCAAAGTAAAAATTAATGTTGAATTCATGGTGTAGTTTATCTCACAAAATAACTGGCTTTAGGAATACTGTCCATTTTGCCTATGAAAGAGACACATGAAAATACATTACTCAAATTCTAAGAAAGATCTGGTAGTTATTCTGCTAATCTGTTCCATATTCTTGCAATAAGTAGATGCATGAACAGAGAAGCAGTGTTTTTATTCTTGTTGCTTCTTTTAATATAAGGCTTAACTGGATGCTTAACAAAGGACCAGGGTGGGCTGGGCAGGGGAAACACCACTGAGTTGTAATATATGGAATTTCTAGGAATCTAGGAGTTTATTATAACTTCTGCAGAGTGAGGAGAATATTGCTGGTAAAGGTCAATACCAGCCAGCAGTTAATTTCTCAACTCTGTTGGCAAATTGAGAATGTGGATGGGGGAAGGTTCTCTGTAAGGCCGGGTCCCAAGGAGAAGCTTTTGTTTGGATAATAATCCATCAGAAATGTCCTTCATTGCAGTAGGTCCCTGTGGAACAGGCTGCTTTTCACAAAGCAGAAAAGAACTCCCTAAAAAGGAGCCTTTTCACAGAATTAGAACAACTCTGTTGAAAGTCTGACAGCCACAAGGAATTCCTATTCAATCAAAATAATTATATACCTAGCAAAGCAAATAGCATTAATGCTATATTTGCCATGCACGTATTAGATTATGCTTTAGAAAAGCAGTCTCTTATTTTCTGTTTTAAAGCCTGTCTTTCCCCTGTGAAAAGAAAAGCCTTTTCCCCAAGCCATATCCTGTCAATATTATCTAGAGAGATTTTTAAAATATCACACAGGCCAGCATAGCTCAACTCTATGTCTATTCAGCCATTGATCATTTAGTGCTCTGAGCAAAATTTGGGAAAAAAAAAGAAAATAATTGACTTGAAATGAAAGTGCACATGGAAGTAATTTCAAAAACTCTTGTCTTCACTCTTGAGACTGAAGATGAAAGAAAATACAAATGATAAAGACACATTATAAGGCTGCTGAAGAGACAAGGTTGTTCCAGCAGCCTTCATTTGCACTTACTTCTTCTCAGCAGTCTTCATTTGCAGTCACCCAATTAACATACAAATATCTGAAACTCCCTTGGAGCAAAATCTATTCTGCAGGGTCAGCTGTTTAGGAAGCCATTGGCACTTCTAATCCATTTATGGCTAAGAACAATATTTCTAATTGTCAGTGTGTCAAGATCAATGAACCAGTGTTTGTTAACAAGATTGCTTAATTTTGTTTAAATTGTGAGGGAAGGACAATGAGAAAATACTTTCTAGATAAATCATTCTCTCTCTTCTTCCCTTCTGCAGTTAAGTCTTTTGGGACTAATGTTCCTATTTTATACCCTCTCTAGCCAGTGAAATATTGCACTGCAAAAAAATAAATCCTTCAAATCTCAGTACACCCCTGCGAGATCAGCCTCTCTTGACTTTCCTTAAAAGTTGCTAAATGACTTAGCTCATGTCCTACAGAGACTTATATGATACACCAACTTGTAGGCTTCCCCATTATATATTTCTTTCATTACTATGCAGCCTGTACAAATCTCATCAAAAAGTCAGGGTACTTTCAGTTGTTTTCATAGTCATGGCTAATTAAATGTAATAATATAAGGTATGGATGGATGCAGCACTGTTTTTTGTCATTATAAACTTTGAAGAGCAGAAAACTTGATTGTCCTGAGGAAAATCAGGGGCCAGCAAACCAGACTTATTTCATTTATCCAAGCCAAATTAGATTAGCTTCCTGAAAAACTGCTGCTTGATGCACAGATATTTGCTTCAGTCTCGAAGTAAATATTAACAGAATGGATCCCACATTGATAAAAGTCAAGAATCTTCTCCAAATCCCTAACGCCAGTAGGGCAACATTTCAAATCTTTGGGCTTAAAGGGGGTCTCTAAAAGTGGGGCAAGAATCTATGGCATAGATTATTGAAGCTTTGGTGGTATATCCCTTTCAAATGCTCTAATGTCACAAAAAATTCTGAAAGCCCCTGTAGTAATCATTTTCAATATATAGTCCCCTTTACATCTGGGGACTAAATACATTACCTGACCCTTTTTTCCCCCCACCACCCTGAATTTGAAGGAAGTAAATATTTCTGCATTTTCTTTCACTACAAATTGAAAATACTGTTATTCTTGCCAATCAGTAAACACTAATCTTGAGATCTTGATTTTGAGCTACCTAAACATATTTTCTCATGTGTTTTTTGTTAGACCAGTTTTCCTCTGATTTCTAATCCATGCCAATCCTTGGAAGAGAGGAACTGCAACTGCTGAAGTTGCAGTAAATCAACACAGGAGTTTGTATATACCAAGTTCCCGAGCTTTCATTTCATTTCAGTAGCAATCCCCCAGAACAACCAGAAATGGGGTTTTAGACCTTTAAAGAAGCCCTCTTCACCTGCACACCATTTCTCATAATGACTTTCCTATGCAGTGCAAGGATTTCAGAAATTTCCCTCTTTGCTTATCCCTGTCACTGGGCCAGTTGGAAGCTTATTCTCCAATTGACAAAAAAACAAACAAACAAAAAAAAAAAGCTAGATTTATAAGAAATGCATATATTATTCAAAGTAATAATACATGCAGGAGCTTTATATTATACATCACTTCTATTTCAGGATCTACTGAATGCTTTGGAGAATTTAGATAATACATGTTTATTTAATGCCTAGAATGTCTGCATGTGTCATTTGTGAGGATTTTATTTTTTCCACTTCAAAGGATTTATATTGTGATTGGATGCCAGCAGAAATCTCCAAATTTGTGTATATTTTAAGCCCACTTGATGTTTCTTGCTTCACTACAAGTCCTGAGAGAAATGTGTTTTATAACTGCCTGTGGGGACACTTAGTGAAGAACTTCTGGGTGTTGAACAAGCATGTCTGGAGAGGTGGAATGCTTGTTTAATGGTTTGTTTCCAAATGCACATACTTAAATAGCATTTAGGCATAAATGCCAAATAATCATAAAAATGCATAGCCACTTACCATTGTACAACACCATTGTCATAGACACCAGCAGAATTATAATCATTTTTGGTTTAATCCAAAGGAAAGAAAAAGTCATGCAGCAAACTGGTGTGCCTGATGAGTTAAGTAAAATATTACACAAAATGTTATGTCTTAAATCTGAGAGCTGGAAGACATTAGTTCAGAAAGTCATTATTGTCCCCAGCCATATTTCTGCTTATTTCAATGCCATTTTTACCCTTAGCGCACATATTACACCAAAGATGAACCTTATGTAAACATACACTTTTTTCAATACCCTCTATAAATACTGTTAGTTAGGTATTGATTTAGGTAAGTCAATAGGCTATTCCAAATTGCTGTAGACAGGGAAAGTCTATTTAACTACTAATTTTCAGTGTACTTGAAGTTGCTTTTATTTTGCAGTCCTCATAGCTTGTATGATCTAACAGAACATTCAGTTAATTTTTTACACTCTTTATAATGCAGATATTGTGAAATCCTATAGCTTGCTTCACATCATTTAAAAATCTCTCCCATTTTCTAGCCAAGCATTCACTCCAATTTATGTAGAAATTATTCTAACATATAGTTTCCCAGTCATACACACAATATGGTTTGGGGATCTTCAAATTCTAGGTACTTGTCCTTTCAGAAATGTGTATTGAGTACTCTTCTGAAGGCCAAAGATTTTCACTAATATTCATTAAATAAATAATAAATAATAGATTTGTTTCAAACTACAGTCACTGTTTACCTGGAATTTAGAATTTTTTTTCTAAATCAAGCATTACATTTTTATAGACAAGCAAATGAGTATTTACTTATCAGTTTTCAAATATATATAGACTGTTGGTTATCTACTTCCCTAAGAATTAGATCTATTATTGCATTCATTTTTAGTAAGAAAACATTGTAATATTTCATCAGGAAGTGAGGCTATAAATATAACAGCTTTAACTATTTTATTTCACTCTGCTATCCCAAATCTCTTACCTGAACATTAGTCTACAGATTCACAATCTTAAATAACTTTATTCTAAATTTTTGCTTCCTGATTTCTGTATAATAGAGTTTCTTTCTTATAGAAAAGCTTACCTTGAGGAATATTATTCAAAGCAGTTGGATGGAAAACAAATGGATTTCAGCAAAGCCAGTACTAAGTGATTTATACCCACTTGGGTATATATCTCACCCATGTGATCACTTCCTTTACCAAACTCACTTCAACATTTATTAATTAATCCTTCCATGAGATTCCTAAGGCTCATTATGTCTACAGTGTATCTTAGTAATATAGCTCTAGCCATGTAAAGGATCTATACTGAGAGCTCTTTTCTGCAGGTGCTTTCACTTTATAGTAACTTTCCCTAATACTTTGCAGCTGTAATTAAGTAACAATCATTTCACTGTTATTAATCTCTCACAAAATCTCGAGGGCATGGCTTTAATAGCTTAGCAAGAGGTAGTGTTCAGTGATGACAGATGAGTGAAAAGCTATACAGCATTAAACATTGGCATTCCCCAGGGCTGAGAATTCTGCACTTGTCTATCCTCAGTGGCTCTCATCCAAAGCTGAAAGAAATCAAGGGCAGGTTGCTTCCATGAGCTTTGGGATAGGCCCTTCCTTGTCTGGAAGGAATTGCTTTCTCCCCATTCCAGACCCAGCTGCCCTTCAAAGACAGCATCAGCAAAGCTGCCTTGCTAGTTGCCTCAGAGAAGTGATCTTGGTGAAGGCCAGTTCATTCATCCTGAACTTCAGCAGGTGACAGAAGCTGATGACAAAACTCAGGTGCCAGTTGATGTGGATGGTGCTAGTGCGTCACTGCAGACGTCACATTGCATCATCGGTGGGCTGCACATCTTCTGCATGCTCCCCAGACCATCCCAAAGCCCTGTCAAAGACTCAGCCTACACAAAACAGTTCCAGACAGCCACAGAAGAAAGCAAGGTCAGTGGAGGTTCCCAAAAATGTCGGTGTGCATCATTTTGATCCACTCAGGGTACAACAGCCGTGGACCAAGTTACAGGGTAATATGGCCACATACTCTGCTGACTGAACTGCCGCAGCTGCTCCATGGAGCTAAGACACTTCAGGCCAGCTGGGTTTTAGCATGGGAAAAGTGACAAAGGGAGTTTGTAAAAATACTTCCATGAGCAGAAGGATTGGCTCCACACAGCCCCTGTGAACTGCACTGTCTAAACTGCTTCGCAGGAAAAGGACAGCTGTTTTGGGGGGTCTAATTGTGCCAGTTCGGTGACCAACATTATGAAGGAACATTTTTGTGCTTCTAGGTGGAGTCTCCAGCTAGCTCAGCAGCTGCCAATATTTTTTTTTCTTTGCTACCTTAATGTAATTATTCAGCCCAACAAATCAGCATGGGACACAGATTTGACCAGGAACAAGGGTAACCATGATTTCCCTGAGATGCTGATTAATTCATACGTCCCATTCCTCATGGACTTCTGTTAAGGGTGCGCAGAGCCCTTGCAGGACTGAAGACCTCAGAATATGGAAAATACATGCTTTTGTGAAGGCAGCCAGTATGCTCATTTTATTCAGGGAGCATTTTGTATTCCTTCTCTCATCTGGTAGTTTTTTTTCCCATGGCAATAAGTCTTAGCTGAAATAAGAAGATTGTCATTCAGGTCACATAACATCAGTCAGGATCAGATTATTTCCCAAGATAGCCACAGCTATGTGACAACTTCCAGTTATCAGCCCATGAATACACCCAGATGGCAGTTCTCTACCGTTTCCAAGACCTCAGTATGGAGATAGACATGGTCTACCCCAGTGGCACCCAATACATGTGGTGAGTGCTCTGCCTCAGGGCTAATATTCCCAAGGGGAAAATACAGAAGCTGGGCATTTCTGAAAACCACAGAACTTTCCTTTAATATAGACACCAGTACTGTACTCAGTATATATAGTTTGTATTTTTTTTCCGTTTTCTCCTCTCTTTATTTTCTTCTTATATCCTTCTTCACTTCCCAGAAAGCCAGTTTTTAAAAATGAATGTAATAAACATAATATGGATTAAAGGAAAAGGAAGAAAAAAAAAGAAAAAAAGCCCACTTTTCAGGCTTTAAAATATTTCTGTGAGATTTAAAAGCAGCAGTTCCACCAAGGTGCTGTTCATTCATCTCTTCACAACAAAACTCAGCGTGGTGCGGGTGAGGAGAGGTGTCACAGGGTGAGATCTCTCCTAAGCACCACAGCTGCTTGGCCATGCTCTCCAAAATCGGACGCTCTCTAATTTATACCTTCACCATTTTAGGATTCTTACTCCTTTTACTGGCCTGACTTGCAATAACAACTGGAACTGATAGCACTCTAATTTATCTTACACTTTAACATGCTTAACATCGTTGCTTTCATGTCATGGAGCACAGTAGTATTTTGGAAGAAGATTGCTATGTCACATCCTTCCCTGGCAACAACGCTTCTTACGGTGTCACCTTTCCTTTTGACTTTGTATTACTTTGAACACATATTTCTTCAATAAAACATCTGGATTCAGTGTGTACTAACGGTAGTGCAAATGCTCTTCTTTTATTGGTACTGTTAGTGGTTTAATGATATAACCGGGGTTGATGAAGTTTGTATGTTGTATTATAAGGTAGCAAAATACAGGACTGTGCAATTTGTTGGGCTACTTCATCCTTTATTAGAGTTGGCTTTTAATTCATCAGAGGCACCTGTAAAAATGGACCTGAATTGTTTTTTGTTTCTTTGGTTGAGCTCTTACAAAGTGAGTGGCTAAACTCTTGACTTGGAATAATGAACAATCTACATGATTTAAGACCAGTAAAAACAAAATGAAAATAATAAAAAAAGAGTGCTCAATATTTTAGGCTGCTTTTAAATTATTCTATATTTGCTCATTTTGGTTACTTTATTATAATTATAAATATATTTACATAAGACATGTAAATCATGAGGCATGAGACAACCTCATAAATATCCTTTATTAAATACAATTTGAAAAATGCTTGCCATGCTTTTATTACAGTTATATTACTTGCATAAAATTTATCTGTTTTTACACATCATTTTTACAATGCCTTGGAGGAAAAAGCATTTCTAGGAAATATCTGTTTAATCACTTGTCATGTTACAAATATTTGCAAATAGCATATTGCCATTCTATTTTTTCTTACATTGAGAAATGAGGCTACTAAAACTGACACAAATCTTCTCATTTGCAGTAAAATTCCTCAGTGCTCTAGATAGATTTACAGATGTTTGCAAGACATTTTTGCTTTAATGCTGGAAGAATAAAAGAAAGCTGCACTCAGACAAGATTTTACAAGAAGAATATTAAAAACTGACAAGAAAGTGAAATAAGTTTCATTGTTTAACCCCTTAAAAATCACCATCAGATAAAATATCTATCAAATGAAACACAGCAGATACTCTGTGAATGTTTAAAACTTTGTGTTACACCTTCATAGGGGAGTATGTAGAAATATAAAGAAAAATTATATACTCACTCTGGGAGTAAGCGACCCTTTTCACTTTTTCACAGACATAACTGGCATTTTTCAAGAACCAGGAATAGTATTCAACACAGTACCTAAAGATGTAGTTCAAGTTAGGGGATTAATATCTTGTCATCTCTCATAAACTTATCGATATCTATAGCATGCTGCCAACACTGTACATTGAAGACAGAAATTAAGAGTTGGATTATGACTTCACTTTAGGTATTTGGGAAAAAATAGGTAATATTTGGAAACAAAATAACTGAGCTTTATTCATCCATAGCCTGAATAGCGGGAGTCAAATCAGATATTGTTCAGTGCATTGGGGACCCATTTAGGGCTCAGCCAGTATCCTTAATCTCTCAGAAATAAGCAATGGTTGTCAAAAACTGTCATTTGAAAAGGCACTGTGGGATATTTTAAGGTGGAGGAGAGTTAAACTAGTGCCAGATTTTACCTCATGGCTTCCTTCCTTGAATATCTTCTTTGACTCACACAGAGGCACAGCTGAAAAAATCTACACAGCTCCATGACACAAGGATTTATCTTTTGAGTTATAACAGTAACTGGCGGTGAAGTCCCCAGGGACTCTTTGAGGATTGCCTGTGGACACCCTAGAAAAAAATACAACTCTGAATTAGTTCTAATACTTGTCTCATAATATTTATTTCAGTGATTTTTCTGGGCTATGGGAAACATGCTAATAAGCTAATGTAAATATCTTAAAGCAAAGCCTGAGTGAGGCAGATAATTGAAAAGAAAATAACACGCAGCCCGGGAGTTATATGAGAGAAAGCACACATATTTATCATCAGTTATTTAAATTCATGCTGCTTTTATTTAGCATAAATGTCAAAAACTCTTTAAAGATTTAATTTACTTATTGTTGCCTTTTTAGTTGCACACTTGAAAATCATTGGAATGTCCATTTTCCACAGTGCAATGCTGTGAGATGAACAACAGCACTGTACTCTTACTGTATTTGATATTGTGCATATATGCATGTGCCACTTTAATGCAAAAGACATTTCCAGTCCCACCATTCTTCCCTACACCTACTCTGAAAATCTGAATTCTGGATTATATATGACAGGGCTAATAAAAAGACTCTTACCACTCTCTTCATTTCTTTTTCCTAGCCTCACTAACAAAAGAAACCTAATTTATGCAAAGGTTCAGGCTTTCTATTTGTCCATCTCACCATGTCCGTCTTTTCACTTTAGCGGCTTTTGAATAATCGGTTAATTTCAACCCAGTTTTTAGAGAATCATGAAGATAAGTGCATTCCTTGAGGTTTCATGAAAACTGTCAGGTAACCAGAGAAGAAAAGGTCAATTTTTGCCTGCCCTGCAAGGAAGGCAGGGATAATTTGTCCGTTTTCCTGTAAGTTTGATAACAGCCAGCTGGTCAATCAATACTTTTTTTCCTTCAAATGACCACAATTAAATTTCTCTAGACTAAGACACACTAAATTGTGTCCCTGGGGGATGAAATCCATCTCCCCCCACTCTTTGGCAACTGAAAGGAAGTATCTAGTTTATGGTGTTCTTTGAACCTCCCTCTGTAGTCAGCATCCAGAGACCAACATCTGCACTTCAAATGCTTCATCCTACCCCAAAATGCAGCTGTGCCAGGCTGCAGATAGAGTAATACTACAGAATGGCTGATGGCAGGTTACAGCAAAATCCTGAACTCCCTTTTTGCCTCGTTTTCTGTCACAGAAAAGAGAAAAGAAGGCAAGGTGAAAATGGGGGGAAATGAGAAAGAATAAAGCAAAACCAGAGCAGTTTTCATTTTTGCTTTTTCTTTTCATCACGCCAACAGAAACCCTGGCATTAGTCCTGTCTTCTGCAGAGCCTGTCACACGTCATGCTGCTTCTTGTGCTTGCGCACTGAGGTAACAACTGCATTATGCTACAGAAATGTCAGCAAAGAGTCAAAATACTTGCTGTGGGGAAAAAAAAAGAAAGATAAGAGTAAAATTTAAGATGTGTTCACAGGATACTTGGGCATGGCTGAACGTATGTTGCCTTTTCACCTGTGCAGAGCAATGCTCCAAAGGGAGGTCTCACCTAGGCACTATTGCAGAAAGTGTCGAAAGTGGTAGGTAACACTGAAAAATGAGGGGCCTCCCTGCAAGTGCAGATTCAGAGGCTAAAAAAACATAATCAGGGACCATGCACCGAGAGGTCACATTTTCCCCCTCATCTGCCAGTCCCTCTCAGAGGCAGACGCCAGGCTGGAAGAGCAAACGCAGCAGCAACGTGCCAGCCTACTGGCTTCTCCATCCCTGTAACTAGCAACCGGATCCATCCCAGGACTCGACAAGCTGCCTCAGCTGCAGGATATAATCCCCTTAGACAGCATAATTGCATTTCCAGGTTCAGATGTCTCACACGCTTTACAGTTTTGGGCCATCTCATGTAACGTGATAGGAGAGGTTACGGAGGTTAAATTTGGACTAATGAAGTTCTGTTGAAATAAGGTTGAGTTACCTCCTGCTGACAAGAAGTTTAATATAAAATGGCATTTGTGGCCAGGAGGAAAATAAAGCCACTGCCAACTTGAAAGACATCTCTATGAAACTATTTCTTTTCTGCCAGATATTTCCCCAGTATAGCAGAAATCATGGAGAAGCAAGGGATAGACACACACACATGCAGATGCACAGACACTGCTGAAAACTGGACACTGGTTGTGTCAAAGATACTGCAAAACTTTCAGGCTTACGTGGCGAGGGCCAGTGAGAGCCCCATTTCTCTTAATCTTAGCAACTTTGTGTGCATATCACTAATTTTTTTCCACTTAATTGCATTTAACATGCTTTGATTTTTTTCCATTTGATATCAATTAAAAATGACTGCTTTTTTTTTTTGCTTTAATAAGCACTCTTCATATTAGTAACTGAACATCAGAGCATATTGGGGTTGAGGCTTTAATCCGTGAATGAAAAGGGATGTTAGACTTGCTGTGAAAATTAAGACTTACAGCACAAGCCTTAAAGCATCTCCAACTCCCCACCAAAGTGGGGGTGTTCATTCTGCTGCTTAACAGGTATTTACTAAGCTTTGTGTTTTATCAGCAGAAATCCAGCCTCATCTAAATGTAAATTTAATGACTGCAATTTCAGTTTTGATTCATTTATGTGGAAAGAGAAGTAAAATAAAGTTAAAACAAATTGCTTTGGTTTTTGTTTATGGCTATGATTTCATTTTAAATGAATGTTGTATTTAAATAATGCTGTATTTATGCAGTACTTAAATTCACTTTCAATTAATGTTGTATATAATTTTGTCTGGATTGGTATGGTATAGTCACATCATGTATATAATTTTGTCTGGATTGGTATGTATGGTATAGTCACATCTTATTGTGGAATTCAATTTGGACTAATGAAGTTCTGTTGAAATAAGATTGAGTTGCCTCCTGCTAACAAGAAGTCATGGTATTTTTTATTTCTGGTCTTTAACAAATTTCTACTGTGAAATTTCTTCTTCATATTCAATTCATGAATTCCTACACATCTGGATTGGAGCAAAAAAAAGAAAAGAAGTTTGAAAGCAGAAATTTAGTTCAGAATAGACTATTCTTTTTCATCTGAGTAAGTCAAAACAGGCAAGAGAACTCAGGAACTCAATTCCCTGTGCAGAGCTCCATTCTTGTCTATCTGAATTTACCACAGTACTGCTAAAGGCAGACAAGTGATTAGTTTCTGCTGCAGTAAAAAACCCTTTTCCATTAGTAACTGAATATCATGTTTTTCTGACACTGAGATTAAATTTTGCTGTTGGTGGAAAAGAACGCTAAAGATACTGTGAATAATTCAAACTTGCAGTATCGCTCCCCACATGGCATCATATGCACACTTGCATATTTCATCAGTTGCCATTAAAGAAAAGCCACTTTTGTGATTTAAGAAAGGACTTCCTGGATGTCACAAGGTATTGCCATGCCTAGACCCTCAGATGGGATCAGTAAACCAGATTTCCCATCAGTCTGGGCTGATAAAGACTGATATTTTTAACTCCAATAATACTATTGCCCTCTGAGAAGGGATACCCCACTGAGTCTTCTGTTCTCTCTCTCTTTTTTTTTTTTTTTTCTGTTAGTATGATTTTATAAACTTCTAAAAGATAAATAACCTAACATCTGCTGATAGACTCAGCTGAACAGAACAGGAATGGTAGGTAAGAAAATTCTGATCAGAATCAGCAAAAGGTACAAAAAGTCAACAGCACGGAAGCCTCCCTCTAGTTTGCTGCAATGGGCAATGACAACAACAACAGAACCAAAGAAAAAAGCAAACTCTACCAAGAAGTAAGTAAACTCTACCAAGAAGACTGTGAAGTGGCTTGAGGACTGACTGGATGGCAGAGCCCAGAGGGTGGTGATAAATGGGGCCAAGTCTGGTTGTGAGGCCTGTGGCCAATGGTGTCCCACAGGGGTCAGTACTGGACCCGATGCTGTTCAACTTGTTCATCAATGACTTGGACTACAGCACCTCAGCAAGTTTGCAGGTGACACCAAACTGTGAGGAGTGGACAACACTCTCAAGAGCTGTGCTGCCATTCAGAGAGACCTGGACAGGCTGGAGAGTTGGGCAGACAGGAACCTTATGAGATTCAACAAGGCAAGGGCAGGGTCCTGCACTTGAGGAGGAATAACCCCAAATACCAGTACAGATCAGGAGGACTACAGCACCTCAGCAAGTTTGCAGGTGACACCAAACTGTGAGGAGTGGACAACACTCTCAAGAGCTGTGCTGCCATTCAGAGAGCCCTGGACAGGCTGGAGAGTTGGGCAGACAGGAACCTTATGAGATTCAACAAGGCAAGGGCAGGGTCCTGCACTTGGGGAGGAATAACCCCAAACACCAGTACAGATCAGGTAGGTACAGCAGGTAGGACTGACCTGCTGGAAAGCAGCTCTGTAGAGAGGGATTCGAGAGTCCTGGTTGACAACAGGTTAGCCATGAGTCAGGAACATACCCTCAGTAGCCAAGAAAGGCCAATGGAATCCTGGCTGCATCAGGAGGAGTGTTGCCAGCAGGTCGAGGAAGGTGATCCTGCCCCTCTGCTCTACTCTGATGAGGCCACACCTGGAGTATTGGGTGCAGTTCTGGGCTCCCCAGTATAAGAAGCACGTTTTGCTTCTAGAGAGGGTCCAGCAGAGAGCAACAAAGATGGTTAAGGGACTAGAGTGTTTGTCATATGAGGAAAGACTAAGTGAGCTTGGCCTGTTTAGTCTGGAAAAGAGAAGGCTGAGAGGAGATTTGATTAACATGTTCAAGTACCTGAGGGGTGATTGTAGGGAGGATGGGGCCAGG